TCTCTCTCTCTCTCTCTCTCTCTCTCTCTCTCTCTCTCTCTCTCTCTATATATATATATATATATATATATATATGATGTTTTATCATGTTCTTTTAAACCATCAGCTGATCTAAGTGTTTATTCCAGAAAGCAGAGGATACTTGAGCCTTTCAAAATTATTATCCCAATTTTGACACAACAACATTCCTGAAGTTGTCATTTTCCCAGTGATTCCACACACACACACACCCCGCCTCTTTCTGGGATTATAATGTGAGGAGTTGGGAAAGTTTCCAACATTTGAAGATCCCCAGACAGAAAAAGATTCGATATAAACAAACGAACAAACTGATGCCATTTATTTTTCCACGGCAACGTGGTTGGACTTGAGAATCTGGCGTGGGGTGGGGTGGGTGCTGGCTTCACAAGAGAGACAGAGTGACATAAGCTTGTTAATGGCTATAATTAGAAAGAATTTAGAAAGATTCCTGGCACAAGTTCGGTTATGCTGCTGCTTTTGAAAATTCAGATGTGCAAATGTCAGGAGAGAGCAAGCCCCAGGAGGTTGGATGTGTTAAATGGGAGATTTAAGTCAATAAACCTAATTTCTTTATTTTAATCTTATTAAAAAAAAAAAACAGCTGTCAACTGTCACCACTTTTTTCTCAAAGTCTCCCAGACAAGCGTCAAATGGTGGATGTTTCCAAGCGGGTTTGTTGTTTTAACTTGTGATATCCCCACTTAACAATAAGTCCTTTTGCAGTTGGGCTGGTTAAAGGGAACTATTAATTCGTTTCTTATTGTTGCTATTATTTTAAAATTTCCTCCCAATTTCATCCCACCCAAATGCCCCCAGAAGGGGGAAAAAAAAAGAGAGAGAGATTATGATGGTACCTAAAACTAACACAAATTGCTTGAGGATCGCTACTGAATTAAACCAAGCTTGAACCTCACTAAATCAGTTTTAAGAGCTGATGGCACAGCATTTAACTGGGCAGTTTTGCGTTGATCGTAAATCCCAATAAAACTGCTTAATTTTCTTTAAGAGGGGCTGCATTGAAATTAACCGGAAGAATGAATCACACGCCAAGATTATACGTATCGCATTATTTAGCAAATAAAAATGATCTCATGAATAAAATCCCAGAGTCATTGAAGGAACGTCTTCGGTTTTTTTGACTATGGGCACCTGTGATGCCAAATCTAATTTGTGCCTTAATTTGCAGAAACTCTGCTCAGCTTTTACTCCAAGACATTCACTGGAGAGAGCTTTATAAATCTGCCAAGTTTGTTATATTGCACAGATAAATTCTTGTCTTCCGCTATGTAACTGTTAAAGGTGAGCCGTTTAGCATCCGCAAACCATTTTTCAAAAATAAATAAATAAATGTTTATTTGTTTTTTTTAAAATGAAGATATCCAATGAAACAATCCCTCCACTGAATGACAGCACAGAAGAAAGCTGCTTTGATCCAACAGAGTTACAAAGGACAAAGGAGTATTTGGCTGCATTTAGAGAAACGAAGTTCAAATATTTGCTCAGCTCTAAAACTTAATATTTTTAGGGTTTGAAGGTTGTTCAGGGGAGGGGCAATGTTAAGCTCCTGGAGGAAACATTTGATATGAATTAAAAACAAACACATTTGTTTGATCCCTATATTGAATCACTTCTGTTTTTTTCCTAAACAAATAGATTGCAAATTTATTATTGATGGGAAAAAAGTAAAACCAACATAAGGAAACAAGGGGAGAGAAAAATTTGCGATTGCTAGCAGAACACAGAGTTTGCTCGTCCCCAATAATCTGTTCCTGATTGGCATTGATTTCGACAGAGGACTGGATCCTACATTATGAACTAGCCGCGATCACCTTCTGCGGTTGCCATAACTTTGGTGATTTGAAAATTTGCTCTGACTACAAAAAAAAAAAAAAAAAAAATCCATGCAGGGTTGTATCCAAAGGCTTCACGTTAGGGTTAAAGTGCCGACGAGCTTTTTAAAAGTCACAAAACTGGTCCCTGCCAATGTCTGGCTATGATTGATTGCCCACTTGCCCTAAACCTCCAGTCAAGGATCCACGCCAAAAGCCGGTGTGGAGATTCTGAACTCATACAAAGAGCTCTCTATTTGCACAATCTGAAGCTGTGTGTATGCGTGTGTGTGTGTGAGAGAGAGAGCAGCTTTCTTTTTTCACTTCCTTGTTTTTTGTCTTTCGTCACTTGCTCCCAACTTATTCGAAACACTCCAGATAATATCTCAGGATACCTGCGTTTCTTCTGGTGGAGGAAAGAAAGAAAGAAAGAAAGAAAGAAAGAAAGAAAGAAAGAAAGAAAGAAAGAAAGAAAGAAGGAAGGAAGGAAGGAAGGAAGGAAGGAAGGAAGGAAGGAAAGAAAGAAAGAAAGAAAGAAAGAAAGAAAGAA